AACTTCTGAAGGGTCAATATATTTACCACATACTGAGTTATCATATTTTTGAACATTATTATATAACGAATGAACAAACTTTTTAACTTTCCTTTCTGATTTTGGTTTATATGTTGCAAATGCAAAAGATTCACGGGCGCAATCCATCTGAAGATAACCGGCATCACCTCTTTCAGTTTCTACTTCTAATTGTTTAAAGCTTTGATTTGATGATTTGTAACCAACGAATAAACGCATGCATTTAAAAGCGGCATCACATGTGAAAGCTTTATTTGAAACTAGAGTTACTTTAACTTTGCGTTTAATATATGTGTCACCTAATTGGTTCACATCATGAGCTGGGTTTGTAATTCTTAAATGAGTTTGTTTATCATCAAAATATGGAGTATCAGAGTCATAGCATGAACTTTCAAGTTCTCTATAATATCTTCTACCATCATTCTTTGCGAATATTTCATTTATCTTTTCGAATGAATGAAACACATTTCCATTAATTGGTTTAGTGTTTGACATCAAATAGTTAGTCGTCATTTATTAATAAATAAAAAATCAAAATTAAAAGATGAAAATGAATTTTTAATTTTAATGAAATAATCAACTATGGCTGCAGGATTCTTTAAAAAATTATGGGATAGAGTAAAAAGAGGGGCGCATAAAGTTTGGGAAACATTGAAGAAGGGAGCAAATTGGATATTTAAGAATAAAGAAGCAATTAGCGACATTGCTGAATCAATAACACCAAAAGCTGCCCCAATAAGAGAAATATTAAATAAAGGAGAAAAAGTTTATCAAAGACTACAACCGATACTAAGATAAAAATATTATTTATTTTTCCACTATCTACCCCCTATTTTATTAAGTATTCCTTCAGCAATTCCACCAATTGCGTTACCTGCTTGTGCTCCCATCGCCGGGTTACCTGCTTTAGTACCTAATACTCCACCTATGATTGTTCCTGCCGTTTTCGCTACTGGTGCCAAAAAGTTTGCAATGGGTTTAATAACCTTTTTATAAACCCAACTCGCAGCTTTCTTAATTCCATCCCATAATTTTTTAAAGAATCCTGCCGCCATTTCTTATTTAACATTAATTAAAAATATATTTTCATCACTTATATTCTAATTTTTATTTAATCATAAATGAAACCGATTTTAAAAATAAATGGAACAGAGGAGGAAGAAATAAATGAAAGTGTTAATGTTCAACAAAAAATAAACGTTGTTAAACCAATTACTGAAATAAAAAATTTTTCATCTGTTGAAGAATTTAATGACTATTATGCCAATAATAAAAAATTATTTGAAGAATTGACAACATGTAAATTGAATAAAATGTTTAAAGTTGATGGATTCAAAATTTCAAAAATAAAAGGGGTGGTTAGTTTGAAATCTATTCCACAATCACGAATCACCTCATTAATGAAAATAGATGATTTAACAAAAAGAATAGAAGAGATTGAAGAAAGAATGAATCAAATAATTGATTTCATAAATTCATTTAATCATTAGTTTCAATTTCTTTTTTTCTCTCGTTTATGAGGTCTTTGATTATGACTCCATTGAAGTTTAACCCATTCAGGATTTAAACAATGTTTAATTAATCGTGGAATATCTGACATCATCAATATGTGGGGAAAAAAGATCTTATATTAAAAAATTTAGGCAGGGTCTAACCCTACCATAGTTTAGTGGTACAATCATCGATTTGGATAATAGAGGTCATAGGTTCAATTTAATTTTCAGGTTTTCTTTTTTTCTTTTTTCTAATTTGTGAGTAATTTGAAGGCAAATAATAAATATTCACAAGATTTAACTAAGTATATTATATTATAATGGTATGACACATGGAATTATTTGCCAGAAAAATAATTAAACTCATTATCGAATAATGATTTTAGCGAAAATTGAATAACAAAGCATTTGTTAATGATATAATGACATATACTTGATATATTATTATATTCAATACTTCTAACTTCTATTTCTTTTATAATTACTGTTAATTAAATACGTATTAATCATAAACGATAAATATGACTTAATTAATTGTATCAATTCCTTTAAAATCTATTGATTAAGAGATTGAAATATAAATCTAAACATGTAATTGATAGATGGAAAAAATATAATGATATATTTTCATTTATGAGCCTACAATTTCGATTTTATGAATCGAAAATACATATATATATGGGAATTTATATAAATATGAAGAATTTAGACATATGAAAAATAAAATTAATTGAATTTTTGTAATTTATTTCAATTTGGATGATTTTCATAGATAACAGCTTTAAACAATTATTTATAAATCTAATTATCAGCATGTTTTATGAAAAAAGAAAAAAATCTTTCCAAAAAATTTAATCGAACCTGGTTCCCCAACTCATACCACTACACCATAAGAAATCATCGCTTTTCCCTCAATTTTTTAGATATTTATGCTTTCTCCCCAACGTGCCTTGATTTTTTCAAATACATTATATGAGAAACGATGCTATCCATATAATTACAAATGTATTGGTAAAGTTTAATAAGTATTTTATTTTTGGCGCGATAATTTTTTATCGTCAAAATTTTGACATTCTATCGTCAAAATCTTGTCATCCTATCGTTTCAAATACTCAAAAATTGAGAAGGGAACGAGTTTTTTTAAAACCACCGAAATTTCCGGTTAATGTTATTTCATCTCGTTCAATAGTAATAGGACGTATAGTACACATAATAAAGTTGCATTTATATGCAAAATATTGAGATGTTTCCATTGATGTAACATTTTTATTTTTCTCATTCGAATGGAATTCTCCATCGAACGAGTCAGAATAAAACTTATTCCATATACTATATGGTACATTATCCCTATGAATTTCTGCTTTTGTTTGATTGGATTCTTAAAATTAATAAAATCGATTTTATTAATCACACGATAATATTAGTTCATTGCATGAGATCTCTCTAAATATTAATATCATTGAAATTGTCGAGTTCAATACTATTCCGTTGTATCACAATTTTTGAATTGATCAGAAAAGACTGTAAATTTTTGATATTTCAATTTTTATTATTTCTCGCAATGTGCTTCTAGTTTAATATTGATTTTCACAAAAAAGCTATATAATGCATCTCTTTAAATTGCTTTGCATAGTAATATTCATGTATAATATAATTCTGGAATTGCATAATTAAATACTTCTAATGTTTCATAAATTTGAAGTTAGAAAATATAGATAAAATTAATTATAATAAAATATGGTTATATTGAAGTAATAAATATTGTCTATAATAATGAATATGTGTTTTTGATGTACAAAATGCTTGAATGTTTGCATATTTTAGTAATGGTTCTAGACATCGATTTAAATTAATAATTTTCATTTCATTTGTATGATTTATTGATGATTCATTATTAATTAAAATGCGTTCCCCTAGTTCATATTCAATATATTCATCAGGAAATGAAAATGTATCTATATAGCAATCAGATATAGAAATTAAGTGACTTGGAGTTTCATCATGCCCAAAACCAATGGTATTACCGAAATTTCTTAAAAGTGCGCATTTAGTGACATTCAATATAGTAAAAGTTGTTTCAATGATGAAAGAATGGTAATAAATTTTAATAGAATTGTTGATAAAATTCGAATAGTTGATAAAACCATAAACATATCCAAGCAAAGAATAGCATCTATCCGGTGCTTCATTGTTAACGATATTACAGTAATATGTTTTGAAAGTCAATTGTTCCCATAAATCCAAATATATTTGAAATACAGAGGTATCGTAACTTTTATTATCAGTAAAATTTGTATATATTGTAGACATATAATACATTCCATTTGCGTGATTCACTGCTGCAGATTTGATTTTACCGCAGCTACATATTGATCCTTCTTCAATTTTTAAATATTTTTGGCTTTCTGGTCCATATGATATACTCATCGCTGAACCCCTTGAATCTCGGTGTGTGCAGGAATCAAAAATGCAAAATCGATAATTAGTTAGAGAGCTTTTGGCGCTCATTTTTATGCAACCACCACCATATTCATTATAGCATTATGTGAATCCACAGTCACTGTGGAGGAAAGATATTTCATCTCGTTCAATAGTAATAGGACGTATAGTACACATAATAAAGTTGCATTTATATGCAAAATATTGAGATGTTTCCATTGATGTAACATTTTTATTTTTCTCATTCGAATGGAATTCTCCATCGAACGAGTCAGAATAAAACTTATTCCATATACTATATGGTACATTATCCCTATGAATTTCTGCTTTTGTTTGATTGGATTCTTTAAATTACTAAAAGTAATTCATTCTTAAGTGATATTAGTTCATTAAATATCATAAGATATTTCTCAATTAAATAGAATTCGTATAAAATTATGAATTTTAAAAGAGTTTCTCATTGAAATTGTCGCGTTCAATATTATTCGGTTGTATCTCAATTTTTGAATTGATCGGAAAAGACTGTATTTTTTTATTTTATTCTATTTTATTTTATTTTATTTTATTTTATTTTTAATGGTTATATTGACCCCTTTTCATTTCCTGATTGTGTCTCCGGTGTACAAGTCAGCGACTGTGATAACGCCGTCTTCTGTAGCAATAACAACAACACCGAAGTTAAGAGAAATGTCTAAACATGTGACTTTGCCGCGGTAAAGATTTAATTGTGTGACTTTTTTAGTATTTCTGTTGATGATTTGAGCTGTTGAATCATTTCATCATAAAACAATGAATTTAGAACAGCCATTGATCACTGTCATGTTATTGAAAACAACTATCTTGTAGTCAGTTACATTACCACTGTGTAAGTCAATAGAAATAATGCAATTGAAAATGATTTGACTTTTATTAAGTTAAAATTAAATACAAAAGTATGTGTTAACATTCGATATAAAAAAATATGTGAGTAAATTCATGCATACCGAAATTAGTATCTGATTTATTTGAAATAATATATATAATTATCAATTAATTAAATGCTTGAATATATTACAATAAATAGCATTGTGAATTATTTTGATCAACTCTGCCTGGCCAGCGACATTTGACGACATGAAGTTCTTCAAGGCCAAGATCTTCTAAGGAATAATTCGAAATATCAGTGTATTTTCCTGTTTTGTAATGGATACATGGTAGAACACAATAATGATTGTATGGAATCCATTGATCTCGAAATGTGAAATCATATGTGTATTTCATTCCTTTTGCAAGTTCTTTAATTGACTGAATAAGATCTTCACCTGCATCATGTAATATTGCATAATCTGTTATAATACCTTCCATTACACATGCAAATTTATTAGCAAGAAAATAATGTATTTCTTGAAAATGTTTTGCACCGTAATATTCGAGAAACTCTCTCATTGCAAACCTTCCTAAATTGGTAACATCTTCATTAGTTAGTGTGAAGAATCTATTAAAACGTAATAAGTCAAAATATGATACAGGTCTGTAACCTTTGAAATAAACAATATCTGGAATAAGTTTCGCATGAGTTTTGAAGTATTGTATGATTTTCTCGTCTATTGGGATGTTTAAAGTTTCGTATGGAGGATAATCAGTTGCAAAATTATTTACTTTTATCCAACTTGGATATCTTTTTGGTAAATCTCTTTCACATTTGATAACTTTGAAACCGCTTGGATGATAATATGTGTATTGATGCTTGCAATTATTGGGGTTTGGCTGAGTCATAACTAAGCAAAATTTTTATCAGAAAATGAAAAAAATTCTTGATTCAATATTGAGAAGATGAGGAAATAATTTGACAAATTATTAATATTTTGGAAATGCCAACAACTTTCGAATTAATGTAAACTATTCAAAGTTTATATAATTATTGTCAGCAAGATAAATTCGGCTTTCACTTTTTGATCAATATTCAAAAATGTAACTGGGTTCTCTGTTTGAAAAATTAAATTTTGACTCATGCAAAATTCTAATGTATTACACTATTCGGATGTTTTTTTTTGAATCTAGTTACCTCTTATTAAAAATCCTGAATTGTTTTCAGAAGAATTGTAAAATGTATTATTAAGCAATGATTTGTACATGGATTTCAATTTATTAGTATTCAATCCTCCTTTGAGAGATAAAATATAATTTCTCTGAATTTCAAAAATTCTTGTATCATTGATTTTATAATTGTATAAATTTGAAATGATAGCAATTTGCAGGCTGAAATAATTTTGAATACTAAACAATATATAAATATCAATCAAATCAAATTTTTTGGTCCCGTTTTCAATGAAATGATAATGCACAACACAATTTGAAGTGATTGGTATTCCAATGTACTCCAAACAATTTTTCTGAGCAAAGCTCAGAAAAAGTTTGGAATTAGGGTTGTTAGATTCCCGACGATAGGTGTCTTGGAAGATTTGCCTGGTGTCATCATAGTGTCTTTAAATCAAAAATTTTATTTTGGAGTTAGTTTTATTGATTTTTCAATAAAAAACATTTCTAAAACAAGAAAATAAAACGATAAAATATTTATATTTTATATAAGGATCTTATATATTTAAAATAAATATAATTTTATTTTTTTCATTGGTGTCTGTCAAACCATAATACACTATTCAAAAACTCAATGTGTCTTGCGGTTTCAAAAGACACCTTCAAATTGAACGATAGCACAGACACTATTGAATTTTACCCATTGTATTTAGTTTTTACCCTTTTTATTTTTAAGAATTAATGACTGAAACAGCCGTTTTGCTATGACCTCAATCACTTTTATTTATTATTTTAAATATTATTTAATTTTATTATTTGAATAGGCCAACTTATATTTGAGAAGCTCAATTTGAGACCACTTAATACATTGAAATATCATAAATATTGAAATATTAAAAAGTGTATTTCAAAACATTGAAATTATAAAAATTTATAATACTGAAATTGAGACAAATTAATAAATTCAATGTGTTTTTTTTAAATAACTCTCAAATATTATTTTTTTGTTTATTTAATGATGAATAAATATGATTGCTTTAGTCAATCATAACAACTAATTTAAGTTTAAAATAATGAAAGGATAATTTGATCGTTTTTTAAAATACAATTATTTTTGATGATTTGCAAGAATCTTTGAAAAGAATATAATATGGGTTCTATTTTTATAAAATTTATCCAAATCATGTATTACATAAATTACGATTCAAACGATGAAAGAACCAAAAAGTGTGTTTTGTGTTTTGTTGTTGCGTGTTGGATGCGGGATCCTGTTATTTCCGAAATCAACAAAAAATTTGGAAATTTAATTTCCGAAATCGAAATTATATTAATGTTTTTAATATTCTTATATCAAAAGGATTAAAGTTCATTAAGAGAAAAACAATTCTTCTTCTTCAATCTATTGGCGCATTTATTTCTACACGCCAATAAGGAAGGGAAAATTATAAGACACCATGGTGTCTTCAAAACGCTAATTTTTGATATTTTTAACAACCCTATTTGGAATATATTTCTAAAATACGAGTCAATAAAAGAATAAAGAACAAATTTATAAAAGCACACATTATAATTTATTTACATATCTCGAAAAATTAACAAGAACTTTCAATATGAATGAGTTCCTCTTCAGGCATACCCAATAAATCGTTAAAGATTTGTGTGAACCTTTTTTGCGTTTTCGTGTATTCCCCGGCAAACTCAAACACGTCTTTAAATTCCCTCTTGAAGAAATCATCTTTCGCATGTCCAATCCGGAATAATTTTCCGGATGAATTAGCTATCTTGCGATTTAAGTTTCTGATGGTTTGGCCATTGCTCAATGAAACTTGAAACTTATGATAATTATTCTTCATGTATTCGTGATTTGCAATACCTTCTGAGTGATTTACTGTGGTTGAACCAAATTGAAATGGGTATTCTACGATGTTTCTTAATTCATCTGGTAGTCCGGAGTTCCACATGTTCATTTGATATCTGGCACCACGGATTACTTTTGTTGTGTTGCATGTGGCTATTTTGAACGCCTCGAATTCCTGAGGGGTCATTCCATTATTTGTGAGGAATTGAAATAAATCTTTAATGAAGTCGCAGTTAAAATCTTCAAGCATCTGACCATATGCTAATTCCCATTTCAGTTTGAATCTCGGGTTATCGATGATACCTTTTGGAATGAAAGTCAATAAGAAATTCTCAACTATTTCCGAGGCATTATGGAACTTTTCTTCGTAGAAGTCTAAACCTGTGGTTTTGACTATTTCGTCCATCTCCTCGTAATTTGGGATTGAGATTGGGTAGACTTTCTTTGAATGAATTAAGATACCAGTAACATGACAAACTTCATGGCCCATCGTTGGTCCAAGGGGATGGTTAATGAAAGCTATCATAATTTGGTCATTAATATTCAGGAGATAACCATAAAGATCACTGTTGAGATTATCCATCCCGATCTTGATCTTGAACCTGTGAATGCAACCATGCTTCCCACTTTTTAAGGGTCCACTGATACCTGTTGTAGCTGACTTTAATATTTCTAGAAATAACTCGTAATGTTTAATGTATAGTTCGGTGAAAGTCCATTGACAGATTTGATGATATGTGCCACATCTGAGAATGCATTCGAACTCTTGGCAAAGTTCACGATAATACTCTTTAGGGCAGCTTACTGTTAGGCACCTATGCTCAATTCCGTAATGATCAAAGATTCTTATTAGCTGGTTTTCTTCTCCCATGAAATCTAATCAAGCACATCAAATCTCACAATTGAATGGAATTTGATCGTCATAAAACATGTTTGATATAACCATGACTCGGTGATAAAAATTGTAACTACATATGATATATGTATTAGTTATTTGACAAAATTCAAACAATATTGTAATAAAATATATCATTTAATTAAAAATAAAATTTTTAAGTTCAAATTATGAACTATTGTGTTTAATAATACCAATTATAATCAATTTTGCTAGTAAATACAAAAAACATTTTTTAGATTGCAAATGAACAATTGATATGAATCAATGTATATCTATGATATAAATCGATTTAATTTAATCATTTCGTATATAACATGATAAAAATCAAAGTGATGAAAATATCCCGAGAATTTTATTCAAAATATGATACTTGTTATATTTGACTATAATTTTTGCTCGAGAAGTTTACAAGGTTGAATCCGCTTGCATACAAATAGAAGTTAGGAATTACTCCTTCATATAAATTAGGTAAATAAAGGAGTAAATTAAATAATCAATGTTTATTTAGATATTTTCCCTGACAATCGGCGTTTAGCTACATGTAGTTCATCAAGACCAAGTTCTCTGAGTGAATAATTGTAAGTGTTAAAATATCTTCCTGACTCGTAATGAATCATTGGATATATATGCATATCATTACGGGGAACCCATTGATCACTAAAAATGAAATCATCTGTGTACTTCATCCCTTTTGCAAGTTTTTGAATTGCCTTAACAATTTCTTCACTTGCATCATGTAATATTGCATAATCTAATACAATTCCTTCAAGTAAGCATGCAATTATATTTGCGCGGTTATAATAAATTTTTCGAAATTCCTTGATTTTATATAAAGTAAAATTTTTTTTCATAGCATATTTCCCTAAAAGTGTAATGTCATTATCTTTTAATTCAAAGAATCGATTAAAGCGTAACAAATCTTCAATGGCAATTGGACGGTATCCTTCAAAATTAACAATAGCTGGAAGATCATTTATTTGAATCTCAAAGTAATGAATAACATTCTCATCTACTTCGATGTTTAATGTTTGAAATGGACGAACTCCTGGTAGGTAAGAATTAACTTTTATCCAATTTGGATATATCTTCGGTAGATCTCTAGCACTTTTGAAATGCTGAATCCCTAATTTATACTTTTTGAACAGTGCCTGTCCTTGAAGCATTGGCTTTGTTCTTGTATCCGATTGTGAGATTCCCAAAATATTTCTATTCAATTGAAAATTTTTGACTCTTTCAATTTTCTTAATTAAATCTTGATATTTTGTAATTACCTGATGAAGATTGTATGTTCATAAACGCATTAAAATATTCCCGAGAAAGTACCAAAAATTGAGACAAGATTGTTTGCTACTATTTAATTTTAATAATAAAAAATTTATTTACAAAACAAAAAGATTTAGCATGATGCTTCAATATGAATGAGATATGATTCCGATATACCTAACACTTTGTTAAAGATTTTTATATATCTTTTTTCTGTTGTCTTGAATTCTTCATGAAATTCAAATTCTGCAAGAAAGTCCGATTCAAAGAATTAATTTTCTACATTATAGAAGCGTAATAACTTTGTAGAGAATTAATTATCTGTCGATTTACGCATCTAAGAATTTTTCCATTCACTAAACGAACCTTCTTAATTTACTTGGATTATTCTTGAAATATTCTTGGTTTGATATGCCTTCTGAGTGTTCGATTTGATCAGAATGGAAATTAAAAATAAACAATAGATTTTTATAAACAAATAAATAAATAGAGGATGTTTTATTGTCGTCTAAAAAGGTGACAAATTATTATTGTCGTCTGGAAAAGTGACAAAATTATCATTGTCGTCTAAAAAATAGATTTTTCAAGCATGTTTCGGTACCTAAATAAAGGAAGAACATCAATTCCGTCTATGTATATAGTATGCAAACACGCATGATATATGGAGTAGCTCTTTATCTGGCTAAAAATCCTATTATTTGAAAATTCGCATTGTCGTCTAAAACCGCCAGACGACAATAATAATACCCCAAATAAATAATATAAAACAAAACAATTAACTAAATTACATTTGAATTGGATGTATCCAACAACAAGAGATTTCATCTTATCGGAATATTCCATGCGACAGATCTTGCCTGAGTATCTGTTGTATTTCGGTGAAAACTTCAAGAAGAATGCTTCTGAAAAGTTGACAATGCCACTCAAGTTGACTGCGATGTAGTCGAATCCACTTGTTGATGACCATGTGACAATAGAATCTGCAACAGACTGGACTTCTTTCTGTCTGATGAATCTCCCATTGATAGTGTAACATGAGATGAATTTCTGTCCGCTTTTGTCGTTCGAAGATGTGACAATGAATCCCCATGTTTTTGTGATACAAATCTGATGAACTGTGAAATTAACCATGATGTTCCTGATTGTGTCGCCAGTGTACAAGTCAGCGACTGTGATAACGCCGTCTTCTGTAGCAATAACAACAACACCGAAGTTAAGAGAAATGTCTAAACATGTGACTTTGCCGCGGTAAAGATTTAATTGTGTGACTTTTTTAGTATTTCTGTTGATGATTTGAGCTGTTGAATCATTGTATCCTAAAACAATGAATTTAGAACAGCCATTGATCACTGTCATGTTATTGAAAACAACTATCTTGTAGTCAGTAACATTACCACTGTGCAAGTCAATAGAAATAACATGGTCCAAATAAACTGTGAAACATTCACTTCCACAGATGATGAAAATGGAGGATTGTCACTTTTGACACTTCGTTTTGGATGAGGTTTTTGGAAAAGTTGTGGAGGGATTTGTCCAATTTGTCTTCTCGCAACAAACAAGTTGTTTTGTTCTTCTTCACTCATGGATGATGTTGTCAAATGTGAATTGATGTAAAATCTTGGATCATAGATATTATTTGCTTTAGTTAGTATCCCTAACTTGGGTACTGTGGCACTGCGCGCCTCCGTACACCACTTAGCGGTTTTGACACTTTACGAAACCGGTAACGTATATTTTACAACACAACCATAACACCAACTTAACCTTAAATATTTACAAAACCGTCTGACACATAAACGACTTCACTAACGAACTCACTAACGAATTCACTACCGTCCTCACTAAATAAAAAATAACCTTATTTTTATTTTTTTTAAATTTTTTATTTCATTACAAAGACATGTCTGACTACATTTACTATGATTCTTTCCCAGAACGTTTCCGTGAACTATTCAAAACTCAAGTAAAACTGAGAAACATGCATTTTAACAAAGACAGACCCATTGACGATGAAAGAAACCCTAAATATATTACAATCCCATATGACGCAAAGTTCATTGCATACATTCCTTATGGTCGCAGAGGAACGAAAACTATTTCAACAAAGAACAAAAATTATTTCTGGAGCGATGAAGAAAATTGCCTTATCTACATAAATGCATACTTAAATAAAGCTACATATTGTACAAAAGAAGGTTGGACTGGATTTGAGCTCTACATATACGACGACGATGGAAACAGACGCTGTGTATACCCATACGATAATATGTACCATTGTTTTCATCAAGCATTAAACGAATACATAGTCAGTAAGGGTCTCATTCCTGCTGAGTAGAAATGTTATATTTTTGTTCTGTCATTTATATAAAATTAATGATATCACCACCCTCACACGTATGAAAACATAGCACAAAAATAAATTTAGGTGAAGTGGTGAGATGTCACCTGTTTTTTCACCTCTTTTTTCACCCGTTGAATTCATTACTTTATAACTCTCTTCCTTGGTTTCTTTTTAGTTGCTTTCTTCACGTCTGTCTCCAACTTGACTGTCTTTCTTCTTCGTCCGTAATGATACCAGTTACTTCCACCAGTCAATGGGTCAAATGGTCTTTCGTAAGGATTTCCATACATTCCATAGGGACCATACGGAAGAACTACTGGTGGAGAAGAAACATTTTCTTTAGTTCCATCGAATCTATTTAAATGCATTGTTTCACCTTTCATCTGGTCATTAAAGTCTTTTGCATGTTTTGCAAACTCATCGTCCTTTCCTAAAGCATTTTCTGACTCAGTCGCAACCAAATTGGATGCTTTATTTATGAGCCCTATTTTATTTAATCTTAACTTCTTTGCAACCCAGCCTCCAATCTTCCTTTATTTGCATCTAATGTCTTCGAAACCCTTCCTCCACTCATTTTATTTACTGCGTCATAAGCCCCAAGTGCTTTTGCTCCAAATGCTAATGCTTTTGTTCCCATTGCGCCTAAAGCTGTCCAAGCTACCATTTACACCATATTAAAATCATCTCTCTTCAATATTATCTCATAAAAGTTCTCGTTACTGGAGAAAGTCAATGAAACATAAACATTCTCATGGACTTCGTCCTCGCCGCGTTGCGGCTTCATAAACTTCTTTCTTATCTCATCTATACGCTTCAAAATGTCTGAACAATTGCTAACATCTTCTACAACAGTTATTTCATCATGAATGACCTTCAAGAACAAGCTCATTTAATATGCAATTAAAATCATCTCAATAATGAGTCCATCCTTTCCATCTTTAGGTAGCACAACATCTTTCATTGAAGAAGGTTCGACAAGTCTTATGTTAAACTTACTGACAAAGTTTGTTATACTATAATGCTTCGGTGGCGAATACATGTAGTTTGAAAGACATAATATAGATTCTTCAGCAAATTCACTTATACTGGATTTTATAACAATGTTCTCACGAGACCAAATACCACCAATTGACAATCTTGTAAGCAATCCTGCTGAACCTTCTACTGTAAACGTCGATGGTAACATTCCACGAAGGTCATCTATTGACATCGTTGAGTCACTGAATTTAAATATTTTCTTAAAGCAATCGTCATTATCTAACCATGCAATAGCTTTGAAGTTTTCATTCGAATATACATCTGCTTCATTAAATGTAAAACCTGACTTCTTTGCAGAGACGACTTTAAAATCTATTGCATTTGTTTCAAAATTATATGCTATGGTAACTTCTGAAGGTAATGGATGCCCTTCCGCAGTCAGTTGTTCTCTCACTACCGTTTGAAGCTTTGTATTAAAAACTTTCATGTCATCTCCTGTGTCTAGGTTCACATACACAGCAACAGGAAAACTATCTTGCTTCTTTGTTTCATCATTATACCTCAAAACATTAAAGTTCTTCAATAATATTGTCCTTCCTGCTGGAATACTTCTAACTTGTCTTATTTCAATAGCTTTCTCACCTCCTACATACTCTACCCAGTGCCTTGGATATTCATAAGTATACTGACTTTCTTGAATTTTGGTAGGTTTCATCATAACGTGTTCATAGTATATCTTTATACTCTTGTCAGTTAGACTCGGTGCTATGTTCTGAATATTTCTGACTTGCATTTTTAATGGAGATAAAATGAAGCATTTAATACATGACGTAGATGAAGACATGAATGAAAGCAGTGAAAAGCTCAACAGTTCTCTCATTCTTCCTTTCAGTAAGGACTATGAGTTCTGTTCAAATGGTGTGTATTTCTATTGTGGAAAGATGGGTTCAGGTAAGACATTTAACCTCATTCGTCATATACTCATAACAGAACGTTTAGGAAATGACTCATATTATGACCAAATCATTATATCAGCAACTTCAGACTCTATGGACTCAACAGCGAAAACATTTATGTCAAAAGTTCAAGCATCTGTCGTTAAAGTTCCAGATAGCGAACTCATTGAATTTCTTCAACGTTACGTTCGACGTAAGAGGAAATATTATGCCATCGTTGAATTTATACAGTCAGGAATGCAAAAGACTTCTGAGGAGATGGAAAGAATTATTGACAAACACCACTTACGTCAATACTCAGGAGTTTACGATATGAAACGACTTACAAACTACATTCTGTCAAAACTTTCAAAATACCCCTTCAAAAAGTATCCTTCAAACACTTTATTAGTTTGTGACGACTTCGCCGGAAAAGGTTTAGTGTCAAAAGCAGACTCACCATTAGCTAACATCATTACTAAAGTCAGACATTACCACTTAACTGTAGCAATACTTATGCAAACATGGCGTTTCCTTGCTTTAAACATAAAACGTCTCATAACTGACTTCGTTATCTTTCAAGGTTTCTCACGCTATGACATTGAACTCATTTGGAAACAGTCAGGTATAACATTACCTTTTGAAGAAATTTGGGAAGCATATAAGTCTCTCATCTCTCCTCGTTCATACCTTGAGATTCATATCATGACTAATACCATTAAAGTCAAAAATATTCCATGGGAACGACCAACATTGTTTTAAAGTTTAACCTTCAATTGACTGATGGTAAACAAATTCCATGCATCTCTGTCGCCATTTCTGTTAATATTTTTGCTGTCATTCATATCATCCACTTCCCCATCCGTTAGCTTTTGAGGATATGTTAGAATAGCTGTTCTTAAATGAAGGCTTTTCACCTTTGAGAGCATAAACTCTATAACTTTCTGCATACTTTATGTTTGAACCTCCTGAGCCATCATTGACATAAATTTTTATAGGCTTCCACCCTTTGTTCATTCCTGCTTCTTCCCTTAGCTCTTTTGTTCAGTAGTTCTACATCTTTATACACAGCTCCTGTCTCAGTGAATTCAACAATATTTTCATTCGTTAGCTTTACATTCAAACCCTTGTCGAGTATATTGTTCATTTCATACATATAAAAGGTTTTTATTCTATATGAAATGAGAAGCAAATCCATCTTAGCTGGTGCCGTTAATGTTCCAATTGAACCAACATCAAATGTTGACTCACGAACGACAAACAATATTGTCATAAAGAACTATAGTTCAGAGTGTTTGAAAGAGCCAGAACCAGAGCTGAAATCCGTGAATTTAAACACAGCTTCAAACGCTAACGCTACATCAGATGTTAAGTTAGAGTATCCACCACTGGACCAAATTCTTTCAAGAGAAGCCAACGACAACCCTTACACAAATGTTCAAACAAATCCTTCAGATAACGTAGACCATTACCTTCTTCAGTTATATCAAACAATTTTACTCAAAGACGATAAGAAGCTTTTGACAAATCTTATAAGCAAGAACCAAATAATTCTAACAAAGGAGGACCTTGAAAATGTTATCTCACGAATAACAGGGAAACAATGTGTCATTGACTATCTCGACCCTGAAATCGAATGCTGTGGTCAAACGCCACCATTCATGAAAATAGGTAACATCCGCATCATTGAAATACCAGGAACTACAGGAGTTGAGTTTAAGTATAAATATTCGAACGAGTATACAAAACTATCTACTTACTATAAGCTTTGCTTGAAATATGTTTTAGTAAATTAAAGCAGTCAGGAGGGCTCTTTGAGCCCATCTTGGCGCTTTGCGCCGTCAGTCAAAAAAATTCAAGTTAGCAATTTGTAATATCTGTCCAAAACTTCTTCAACAGTATCGAACTCATCTTCATAATGCAAACCTAATCTTATTGACTTGGTGCAGTTTTCACTAACACAATATAGCGCTTTGCGCTCGGCGCCTTTGACGCCTTTTTCTGTTCTCTTGACTGACATAACTAACTCATTTGTTTCATCAAACAGCAATAACCAAAGTTCATGACCTAATACATAACATTCATACTTTATATTTTTAGCTCTGAGTTCTCTTGTAAGCTGTTGCATTTAATATTTTCTAAAAAGTCAACTTCAACAGTCATTCGCACTGGTGCCTTCAGTTCTACAGGCTCTCCTTGAAAGTCAACAAGTCTGAATTGCATGTCTTTCAAATTATGAGGACTAATGCGAACCCATTTACCTAAATGAGTTACTATGACAGGAACGTTTGGAATGAACATTGAATTGACTGCATAACAGAAGGATTTATATTCTACTGAACCTTTACTATTAACTCCTGAAATACCTGTGACATTAGCTATTTTTGACTCAACGTATAAACAATTACCATAACATACGTATGGAACAGATTTCATCTCAATCGTTTTGTCAACACTTTTCAAAGGACATGTCATATGGTATGCTCCCAGAAGCAATTGAACTCTATGACTCATTCGTGTTATCTTAAACTCCTTCGCATAACTGAACTTCAAAACTCCTGCAATAAGTTTAACATTCATTAAGTTTTCTTCGTTCTCCTTGTTTATTGTAGTATTTATGAGCGCATTTAACACTCCAGCTAATGTTTCCATCTTATATTCTACATTATTGTGAAATCTTATTTCGTGCTTCTTTCCATCTATTTCAAGCTCCATGAAATCTGTTTCATCTGTTATAACGAATGAAGCGATAGTATTGAAGTCAACAACTCTGAAAGCAAGCGCTTCATTCTGAAGACCTAAGTTTGTTTGTAGCTTTACTGTCCCGTATTCGTTTGGGTCTGTACTTTGCAAATAGAACAACATTTTATTCTCATTAAAATATGAGTATTGCTGCATATGCGTATGAAGCTGACAGAGCTAAACGTTTATATTTTGGTCAATACTCTCTCACACTTACTGACAAATATATTGTTATTTCTGATGGAAATACCGAGAAATACATAACATGGAAGGACTATGAAAAGTTTGACCCTATTTTAACTCCATGCACTATGCCATTCATTGTAAATGGTGAAGTTGTCATGAAGAACGACACAACAGTATATAAGTCTGTATATGAAGCGTTAGAATATATGTTGAATTATAATCCCGAAAGATTTGACCCAAGCACTACGTCATGTACAATGCCTTTTATTAAGGATGGTGAAATCGTAAGAGTTCCGAATTCAACGGTTTACACAGCTGTTCAAAACAGTTTACAAAACATTTTAGCGAATATCTTTAATTCAGAAACTACAGAAATAAAATTACCATATATAACAGATGCTAAAGAAATTAAATCAAAAACGACAACATTATTTACGTCACTTAATGATTTAATGACTTATATCATTAATATTCCTGCACCAACTACAGCATTTGATCCAAACTCGACGGTTTGCAGTGTACCTTTCATAAAGTCGCAAACGGACTCTTTGAGTCCTGAAGGTCTTTCAGACCGAAGCGACCAGGGCGAAGCCCATGACAGTTCATTAATTGTTTTAAGGGATTCAACAGTTAATGAATCATTAAAGGCGTCATTAATGAAAATCATTGATTTTAATTCATTCACGAATACATATAATTCATTCATTAATGTTTCATATGCTTCTAAAGAAGGTGAGCCAAAAACTATCGATAAAGCGGTGTATGAAATAAAAGCATCAACGACGAAATTGAATTCGTTAACTTTTGACGGTGATAGTTTCGTTAATGACATAACATCGGGGAAAACAATTTTAACGAAAGAATATTTAAAATCTCATGTTAGTGAGTTCGTTGAAATTGAAAAAGAAGGTGGAATTAAGTTCGATCCACTGAATTTCATTTTCAGCTTAGCGAATGCGGGTGTTAGTTTCGCTGAATGGACAACTATACAGAGTGAAATAAATGCAATATGGACGTTTTTGGGGTCAAAAGCGGGAATGGGTGAGCTTGTAAATGCTGCAAGAACATTAGGTGAAACAGGAAATTTTGTGTGGTTTTAAAAGACTTGTTTCAAATGTTTTAACAAACACAAAGAAATTATTTAGATATACCATACATAACGGACGGATTTTCGAACAGGTAGCAACAAACCCTCCGGTTATGGCTGCGTTGATGATGGTTAGAGATATAAAACCACGTAACGACGGGAACGAAGAACATGAACAACAGAGCCCAACGGGCTCAGAGCCACATAGTGGCGAGGATACTGGTCGGGTTATTCAAGACATTAAAAACGTGTATCCTGAAGTTATTGATTTATTTAGAGGAGTTAATGATTCAATTTCAAAACATTCTATAACCCTCGATGAAGAGAATAAATTAACAGATTATATATTCGTCATTATTGCAGAATTAATGAAGAGAATAAATGAAAAAGGAATTGGTGATATCATTAATGTCAGCGATGTAATGATGAAAAGAAATTTTGACTCATTATTTACAAAACCGAAAACAGAATATAGTCTTTATGACGTAATTACCGAATTAATGAAAAAGATTAATGATAATAAGAGTTCTGGCGGAAGAGTTGAATTAGAAGTGAATGATGTTAATGAGAAATTAGCCGAAAAAGCAGATAAAAACCACGTTCATTATATAACTTCAGACGAACAGATTATAACGGACTACCATGGATATTTAACACGAAGTGATGAAGCGAAGACAAAAAATGTTAATGAAAGAAGATATAAATACATTCGTGCTAAAGGTTATGACATAAGCTGTACTGTACAGTATGACACAGGTAAAGCACCAGAAGCATTTAGTTATAACGATGAAATTTATGCCTCTACTTTCTCTGTTAATGGTGTATTAGTTGAACCAAGATTTATGTTAAGAGTTAAGGCAAAAATAACGTTTGAAGATGCTATTAAAAGTAAAGCTGACAAAGTTGAACTTGACGCAACGAACAAAGTTTTGAAATCTCATAAACACAACATCTCCGATATAAATGAACTTCAAACTTCTTTAGACAGTAAAGCTGACAAGAACCATACACATAAATCCTTCACTACTGTTAGAGCAGACGACATAATATTGAACTTTGACCTTGGTTCAAGTGCACCATTAGAAAATCCAAGTACAAGCGTAAAAGATACTCTTAACAGTTTAGATAACAGTTGCAGGAACATTGAAAGTCATGCCAGAAACTTTGAAGCATGAACTACCAGCAATGTTAGATAAGAAAGCAGACAAGAACCATACACATAAATCCTTCACAAACTGTTGCTATAGAAAGTATTGAAGGAACGGTTGAAGAACTGGTGGGGAGGGCGGAGCCCCGCCGCACGTGGCTGCATTATATTGTAAACCTCCTAACTTTCCACAAGGTTTAACATCGGATGACGACATAACGACGATGAGAAACATTAGATGTAAAGATGTTTATGTCATGAAGGATGAACATAATATTAAATTCACTGCTCAAGATTTATATGACAAGAAAGCAGACAAGAACCATACACATAAATCCTTCACTACTGTTAGAGCAGACGACATAATATTGAACTTTGACCTTGGTTCAAGTGCACCTTTAGAGAATCCGAGTACAAGCGTAAAAGATACTCTTAACAATTTAGATAAGAGTTGCAGGAATACCGAAGATCATGCCAGAAACTTTGAAGCATATGAACTACCAGCAATGTTAGACAAGAAAGCAGATAAAACTTATGTGGATGCAGAACTAACAAAGAAATTTTCGAAACCAGATACAATGACATTTACAACAGAAATTATAAATGGTGAACCAGCAACTCCATTTGAATTTGTTAGAGGTCTTCAACCAGATACTTTTGAATTTTTCTTGGATAATTCTATTGAACTAACATTACATTATAAAAGTGGAACAAATGCAACATTTCATCCGGGAGATACATTCCAAATGGTATTTAATGACATAAGTTCTTTAGAATATGTTTATAGAGTTATGAGCATATATGATTTAATATATCCTATAGGAGCTGTTTATACGTCTATGAATCCAATAAATCCAAACACTTTATTTGGTGGTAGATGGTATGAAATAGTTGACAGTTTTCCATTCTACACTAATACGCAGTCAATGAAGATGGGAGGTTCAAAGAAAATAGGTATTGAAAACCTTCCTTCACATATGCATAGGTTCAGTGGAAGAACATCTGTGGAAGGAAACCATTCACATTCAATAACAAAAAGAGGTTATACAAATCTTGCAGCGGGTTCGGATAGACAGGGAATGCATAGATATGATATCACAACTGACCCCAAAGATGTTAGCACAGGTATTTTCTGTGGAACTGCAGGAAATCATACACATGTTGTAGCTGGTATTACAGACCCAGCAGGTAATGGAAAAGATTATATGCCTCCTTATATAACAATGCACGCTTGGATACGAGTTGGTTAAAATCTTTAACTTTACATAAATGAGCTTGAAAGAAGTATTCGAACAACATCCATGGAGGTCATTTAAGAAGTTCAATGAAGCTGCAAAGAGTTCGGGATTTACTAACAGAGCTGAAGTGAAAAGGTTCTTTGACAAAAATGTTGTACATCAAACAAAAATAAATCCTTACGACTACTTTTTACCAATTTACTCCAACACTCCTGACGCATACCAATTTGACACTCTCATTCAAAGCAGAAAAGGAGGACATAAACCATTCCTCATCTTCATAAATGTTAACACTCGTAAAGCATATGCGTATATAATGAGAAATAAAGGAACTCGAAGTGTTAAGAGTTTTACAAAAGTTTGTAGCAGAACATAGCCCAAGTATTTTAACATCAGACCAAGACGGTGCATACCTCAGCAACGAAATCACAGAATTTCTCATTAAGCATAACATAACTCACTACACTACTGAAGACCATAACCATAACATACTCGGTATCATTAACCGCTTCATAAGGACTCTCAGAGATTTAAATCAAGAGCGAGACTTTACCGAAGAAACAATGAAACATTTTCTCGAAGTATATAATTCCTCAACACATTCTACAACAGGACATACACCAAATTCAATGACACAACAACAAGAAGAAAAGTATATACAAAAGAAACGAAGCCAAACACAAAATATCAGAAATTCAACACAATTTACTCTCATTCCTGGTACAAAAGTTCGTGTAGTTCTTGACGACAAACCATTGACAAAGAAACGTTTAAGGTTAAGTCGAAATTATTATATCGTAGACTCTACGCAAGGTAATGGATATCTTATAAAAGCTGCTGACGACTCCATAGCATTTTACCCTCGACATAAATTAGTCGAAAGTAGTAATGGCAAACTTGCTGAAACCATTGACGAAGCAAAGCGAGGAGTGGTTATTGAAATACTTGACTATAACACAAACGATGACACTTATAAAGTAAGATATGAAGGAGGCGTTGAAGATGTTATACCATCTAAGAACTTGAGAGAATCTAAACCAACTCATCTGGGACCATTAGAGCGGGAGTACTGGAAAGATAAAAACATGCCAGAAAGAATAAGAAAATTCTTCTAAACTTTTTCGTTGGATGTAAATCAGACATGAATGAGAACAGTCATGTATTATTAATGGTACCATTTATTTTTGTCATAAATTTACACCAAAAATAATGTTTAGGTGAAGTGGTGACATCTCACCTCTTTTCTCACCTGTTTTCTCACCTCTTGAACTTTTTATAACATTCGGTCATAACTTCATCAATTTCATTTAAATCACGATTTAAAAACTCATTGACTTCATCTTCAACCGTGTCATCTTGTAATAAGAATATTTTCTTTAGTTTCATGTCAACATCCCGAACAGCACAAAGGATAAAATCATATTCATTTCTTCCGTTAAACATACTTTTTCTTTCTCGTTCATCGTTAAATAAATTATTGAAAATATAAACAGCGGTGTAAAAGTTATGTACTGTGTTAAATGTTGAAGCTTCACCTATTTTAGATTTTAGGATTCTTTTAGTAAGTAAATTGTTATCGTTCTTTCTCTTTTCCTTATCGTTCATGTCGAATCTGTCGAACCACATATCCTGTATTTCATCGAATTTACGAACTATAGAATCCGTCATTTCCCTGGTTAATGAGGGGTAATCATTATTAATTTTTCATATAATTTGTCCATATGATTTTCATCGACGTTTCCGGAAAGCATTTAATTAAAGCAAAAATAATGTTTAGGTGAAGAGGTGAGATGTCACCTGTTTTTTCACCTCTTTTTTCACCTCTTGAATTTTCATGAATTTTCACAAAAGACCAAAAATATATTATAGGTGAAGAGGTGAGATGTCACCCGTTTTTCACCTGTTTTCTCACCCCAGTTTTTCACAAGCGTTTTACATGAATTGTACGATGTATATTTGAAATCCTAAACAATTTCGTAGCTTCTATTTCTTCTGTCAGTATGTCAAAAGTTTTAACAATGCCGAAAGTTTCTTTATATTTCTTCTTGACGTCAGATAGAAGGAAATCGTCAGCAGTTGGATAGTTTTTGTTCAGAAATGCTAACATGTCCATTTTATTTTCTGCTGGCTTTTCTGCTTCTTTCTTTAAGTCTGCATAGTCGTTTCGCATTCTTTCTATCTCTTTGACGGAGTAGTTATATTTCCTAATTGCTGCTTTACATTTAGAACATTGCGGATTCATTTTTGCGTTATATTCTGAAACCTTACCTGCTAAAACAACTAAGGCGTCAATGGTTTTCTTTAACTCAAAAGCAGTTGGTCTTATCTGTTCGTTCCATATTTTACCTCTTCTATCTTTATCTCTTATCTGCCATACACATTCAGCAACTAACGAAACAAAGTTATCGTAGGTCTTAAACTCCCCGGATTTATATATGTCAGAAACATTCTTATATACCATGTCGCAATCTTTGTCCATAACCTTATGGTTGCAATGAAATCCTAGAAACTCATAGTTTACCTTTCGAATGAACTTCTTTATTTCTACTGAGTCAGTTGGTTTCACTTCTATTTCATCGAATTCAGGAATAGTTAGTTTTTGATGCTGAATTTCAGGTAGTTTAGGTAAATGGTCAATAATGTCCTGCATTTCATAAAGATACTGTTCATTTGTTTCATCTTTCGCACTACAGTCTAAATTACTTGTTAAAAGTTCTTGCTTTATCTTCTGGATTTTTGTTTCGAAAGTATATGAAGAAGGAATGAAGCTTTTCATCTCTACTAACATAGATGTTGGATTCATGACTAACGAGTTTGGTGAAGTTGTTGTGGACAGAGTCCCGCCGTTCGCGGCTTGAATTGTTGTTGTGCCGATTGTTGAAATCATATCTTTACATACAAAATAAAAAAAATAAATAAAAATAAAACTAACGTTATTTTTCTATCTTAAGGAAATTCATGAAAATTCAAGAGGTGAGAAATTAGGTGAAAAAAGAGGTGACATCTCACCTCTTCACCTATAATATATTTTTGGTCATTTACACTCATTTACGAAGAAGTTATGACAAAGCATTTACGAAGAAGTTATGACAAAGTCACGAGGGTGAGAAAACAGGTGAGAAAACGGGTGACATCTCACCTCTTCACCTATAATATATTTTTGGTCTTTTGTGAAAATTCATGAAAATTCAAGAGGTGAAAAAAGAGGTGAAAAAACAGGTGACATCTCACCTCTTCACCTAAACATTATTTTTGCTTTAATTAAATGCTTTCCGGAAACGTCGATGAAAATCATATGGACAAATTATATGAAAAAATTAATAATGATTACCCCTCATTAACCAGGGAAATGACGGATTCTATAGTTCGTAAATTCGATGAAATACAGGATATGTGGTTCGACAGATTCGACATGAACGATAAGGAAAAGAGAAAGAACGATAACAATTTACTTACTAAAAGAATCCTAAAATCTAAAATAGGTGAAGCTTCAACATTTAACACAGTACATAACTTTTACACCGCTGTTTATATTTTCAATAATTTATTTAACGATGAACGAGAAAGAAAAAGTATGTTTAACGGAAGAAATGAATATGATTTTATCCTTTGTGCTGTTCGGGATGTTGACATGAAACTAAAGAAAATATTCTTATTACAAGATGACACGGTTGAAGATGAAGTCAATGAGTTTTTAAATCGTGATTTAAATGAAATTGATGAAGTTATGACCGAATGTTATAAAAAGTTCAAGAGGTGAGAAAACAGGTGAGAAAAGAGGTGAGATGTCACCACTTCACCTAAACATTATTTTTGGTGTAAATTTATGACAAAAATAAATGGTACCATTAATAATACATGACTGTTCTCATTCATGTCTGATTTACATCCAACGAAAAAGTTTAGAAGAATTTTCTTATTCTTTCTGGCATGTTTTTATCTTTCCAGTACTCCCGCTCTAATGGTCCCAGATGAGTTGGTTTAGATTCTCTCAAGTTCTTAGATGGTATAACATCTTCAACGCCTCCTTCATATCTTACTTTATAAGTGTCATCGTTTGTGTTATAGTCAAGTATTTCAATAACCACTCCTCGCTTTGCTTCGTCAATGGTTTCAGCAAGTTTGCCATTACTACTTTCGACTAATTTATGTCGAGGGTAAAATGCTATGGAGTCGTCAGCAGCTTTTATAAGATATCCATTACCTTGCGTAGAGTCTACGATATAATAATTTCGACTTAACCTTAAACGTTTCTTTGTCAATGGTTTGTCGTCAAGAACTACACACGAACTTTTGTACCAGGAATGAGAGTAAATTGTGTTGAATTTCTGATATTTTGTGTTTGGCTTCGTTTCTTTTGTATATACTTTTCTTCTTGTTGTTGTTGTCATTGAATTTGGTGTATGTCCTGTTGTAGAATGTGTTGAGGAATTATATACTTCGAGAAAATGTTTCATTGTTTCTTCGGTAAAGTCTCGCTCTTGATTTAAATCTCTGAGAGTCCTTATGAAGCGGTTAATGATACCGAGTATGTTATGGTTATGGTCTTCAGTAGTGTAGTGAGTTATGTTATGCTTAATGAGAAATTCTGTGATTTCGTTGCTGAGGTATGCACCGTCTTGGTCTGATGTTAAAATACTTGGGCTATGTTCTGCTACAAACTTTTGTAAAACTCTTAACACTTCACGAGTTCCTTTATTTCTCATTATATACGCATATGCTTTACGAGTGTTAACATTTATGAAGATGAGGAATGGTTTATGTCCTCCTTTTCTGCTTTGAATGAGAGTGTCAAATTGGTATGCGTCAGGAAGTGTTGGAGTAAATTGGTAAAAAGTAGTCGTAAGGATTTATTTTTGTTTGATGTACAACATTTTTGTCAAAAGAACCTTTTCACTTCAGCTCTGTTAGTAAATCCCGAACTCTTTGCAGCTTCATTGAATTCTTAAATGACCTCCATGGATGTTGTTCGAATACTTCTTTCAAGCTCATTTATGTAAAGTTAAAGATTTTAACCAACTCGTATCCAAGCGTGCATTGTTATATAAGGAGGCATATAATCTTTTCCATTACCTGCTGGGTCTGTAATACCAGCTACAACATGTGTATGATTTCCTGCAGTTCCACAGAAAATACCTGTGCTAACATCTTTGGGGTCAGTTGTGATATCATATCTATGCATTCCCTGTCTATCCGAACCCGCTGCAAGATTTGTATAACCTCTTTTTGTTATTGAATGTGAATGGTTTCCTTCCACAGATGTTCTTCCACTGAACCTATGCATATGTGAAGGAAGGTTTTCAATACCTATTTTCTTTGAACCTCCCATCTTCATTGACTGCGTATTAGTGTAGAATGGAAAACTGTCAACTATTTCATACCATCTACCACCAAATAAAGTGTTTGGATTTATTGGATTCATAGACGTATAAACAGCTCCTATAGGATATATTAAATCATATATGCTCATAACTCTATAAACATATTCTAAAGAACTTATGTCATTAAATACCATTTGGAATGTATCTCCCGGATGAAATGTTGCATTTGTTCCACTTTTATAATGTAATGTTAGTTCAATAGAATTATCCAAGAAAAATTCAAAAGTATCTGGTTGAAGACCTCTAACAAATTCAAATGGAGTTGCTGGTTCACCATTTATAATTTCTGTTGTAAATGTCATTGTATCTGGTTTCGAAAATTTCTTTGTTAGTTCTGCATCCACATAAGTTTTGTCTGCTTTACTGTCTAACATTGCTGGTAGTTCATGGGTTTCAAAGTTTCTGACATGACCTTCAATATTCCTGCAACTGTTATCTAAATTGTTAAGAGTATCTTTTACGCTTGTACTTGGATTCTCTAATGGTGCACTTGAACCAAGGTCAAAGTTCAGTATTATGTCATCAGCTCTAACAGTAGTGAAGGATTTATGTGTATGGTTCTTGTCAGCTTTCTTATCATATAAATCTTGAGCAGTGAATTTAACATTATTTTCATCCTCCATGACATAAACATTTCTACATCTAATGTATTTCATCGTCGTTATGTTTTCCTCCGATGTTAAACCTTGTGGAAAGTTAGGAGGTTTACAATATAATGCAGCCGCGTGCGGCGGGGCTCCGCCCTCCCCACCAGTTCCGCCAACCGTTCCTTCAATACTTTCTATAGCAACAGTTGTGAAGGATTTATGTGTATGGTTCTTGTCTGCTTTCTTATCTAACATTGCTGGTAGTTCATATGCTTCAAAGTTTCTGGCATGATCTTCGGTATTCCTGCAACTCTTATCTAAATTGTTAAGAGTATCTTTTACGCTTGTACTTGGATTTTCTAATGGTGCACTTGAACCAAGGTCAAAGTTCAGTATTATGTCGTCTGCTCTAACAGTAGTGAAGGATTTATGTGTATGGTTCTTGTCAGCTTTACTGTCTAAAGAAGTTTGAAGTTCATTTATATCGGAGATGTTGTGTTTATGAGATTTCAAAACTTTGTTCATTGCTTCGAGTTCAACTTTGTCAGCTTTACTTTTAATAGCATCTTCAAACGTTATTTTTGCCTTAACTCTTAACATAAATCTTGGTTCAACTAATACACCATTAACAGAGAAAGTAGAGGCATAAATTTCATCGTTATAACTAAATGCTTCTGGTGCTTTACCTGTGTCATACTGTACAGTACAGCTTATGTCATAACCTTTAGCACGAATGTATTTATATCTTCTTTCATTAACATTTTTTGTCTTCGCTTCATCACTTCGTGTTAAATATCCATGGTAGTCCGTTATAATCTGTTCGTCTGAAGTTATATAATGAACGTGGTTTTTATCTGCTTTTTCGGCTAATTTCTCATTAACATCATTCACTTCTAATTCAACTCTTCCGCCAGAACTCTTATTATCATTAATCTTTTTCATTAATTCGGTAATTACGTCATAAAGACTATATTCTGTTTTCGGTTTTGTAAATAATGAGTCAAAATTTCTTTTCATCATTACATCGCTGACATTAATGATATCACCAATTCCTTTTTCATTTATTCTCTTCATTAGTTCTGCAATAATGACGAATATATAATCTGTTAATTTATTCTCTTCATCGAGGGTTATAGAATGTTTTGAAATTGAATCATTAACTCCTCTAAATAAATCAATAACTTCAGGATACACGTTTTTAATGTCTTGAATAACCCGACCAGTATCCTCGCCACTATGTGGCTCTGAGCCCGTTGGGCTCTGTTGTTCATGTTCTTCGTTCCCGTCGTTACGTGGTTTTATATCTCTAACCATCATCAACGCAGCCATAACCGGAGGGTTTGTTGCTACCTGTTCGAAAATCCGTCCGTTATGTATGGTATATCTAAATAATTTCTTTGTGTTTGTTAAAACATTTGAAACAAGTCTTTTAAAACCATCTACAAAATTTCCTGTTTCACCTAATGTTCTTGCAGCATTTACAAGCTCACCCATTCCCGCTTTTGACCCCAAAAACGTCCATATTGCATTTATTTCACTCTGTATAGTTGTCCATTCAGCGAAATTAATTCCTGCATTCGCTAAGCTGAAAATGAAATTCAGTGGATCGAACTTAATTCCACCTTCTTTTTCAATTTCAACGAACTCACTAACATGAGATTTTAAATATTCTTTCGTTAAAATTGTTTTCCCCGATGTTATGTCATTAACGAAACTATCACCGTCAAAAGTTAACGAATTCAATTTCGTCGTTGATGCTTTTATTTCATACACCGCTTTATCGATAGTTTTTGGCTCACCTTCTTTAGAAGCATATGAAACATTAATGAATGAATTATATGTATTCGTGAATGAATTAAAATCAATGATTTTCATTAATGACGCCTTTAATGATTCATTAACTGTTGAATCCCTTAAAACAATTACTGAACTGTCATGGGCTTCGCCCTGGTCGCTTCGGTCTGAAAGACCTTCAGGACTCAAAGAGTCCGTTTGCGACTTTATGAAAGGTACACTGCAAACCGTCGAGTTTGGATCAAATGCTGTAGTTGGTGCAGGAATATTAATGATATAAGTCATTAAATCATTAAGTGACGTAAATAATGTTGTCGTTTTTGATTTAATTTCTTTAGCATCTGTTATATATGGTAATTTTATTTCTGTAGTTTCTGATATTAAAAAGATATTCGCTAAAATGTTTTGTAAACTGTTTTGAACAGCTGTGTAAACCGTTGAATCCGGAACTCTTACGATTTCACCATCCTTAATAAAAGGCATTGTACATGACGTAGTGCTTGGGTCAAATCTTTCGGGATTATAATTCAACATATATTCTAACGCTTCATGAACAGACTTATATACTGTTGTGTCGTTCTTCATGACAACTTCACCATTTACAATGAATGGCATTGTACATGGAGTTAAAATAGGGTCAAACTTTTCATAGTCCTTCCATGTTATGTATTTCTCGGTATTTCCATCACTGATAACAATATATTTGTCAGTAAGTGTGAGAGAGTATTGACCAAAATATAAACGTTTAGCTCTGTCAGCTTCATACGCATATGCAGCAATACTCATATTTTAATGAGAATAAAATGTTGTTCTATTTGCAAAGTACAGACCCAAACGAATACGGGACAGTAAAGCTACAAACAAACTTAGGTCTTCAGAATGAAGCGCTTGCTTTCAGAGTTGTTGACTTCAATACTATCGCTTCATTCGTTATAACAGATGAAACAGATTTCATGGAGCTTGAAATAGATGGAAAGAAGCACGAAATAAGATTTCACAATAATGTAGAATATAAGATGGAAACATTAGCTGGAGTGTTAAATGCGCTCATAAATACTACAATAAACAAGGAGAACGAAGAAAACTTAATGAATGTTAAACTTATTGCAGGAGTTTTGAAGTTCAGTTATGCGAAGGAGTTTAAGATAACACGAATGAGTCATAGAGTTCAATTGCTTCTGGGTGCATACCATATGACATGTCCTTTGAAAAGTGTTGACAAAACGATTGAGATGAAATCTGTTCCATACGTATGTTATGGTAATTGTTTATACGTTGAGTCAAAAATAGCTAATGTCACAGGTATTTCAGGAGTTAATAGTAAAGGTTCAGTAGAATATAAATCCTTCTGTTATGCAGTCAATTCAATGTTCATTCCAAACGTTCCTGTCATAGTAACTCATTTAGGTAAATGGGTTCGCATTAGTCCTCATAATTTGAAAGACATGCAATTCAGACTTGTTGACTTTCAAGGAGAGCCTGTAGAACTGAAGGCACCAGTGCGAATGACTGTTGAAGTTGACTTTTTAGAAAATATTAAATGCAACAGCTTACAAGAGAACTCAGAGCTAAAAATATAAAGTATGAATGTTATGTATTAGGTCATGAACTTTGGTTATTGCTGTTTGATGAAACAAATGAGTTAGTTATGTCAGTCAAGAGAACAGAAAAAGGCGTCAAAGGCGCCGAGCGCAAAGCGCTATATTGTGTTAGTGAAAACTGCACCAAGTCAATAAGATTAGGTTTGCATTATGAAGATGAGTTCGATACTGTTGAAGAAGTTTTGGACAGATATTACAAATTGCTAACTTGAATTTTTTTACTGACGGCGCAAAGCGCCAAGATGGGCTCAAAGAGCCCTCCTGACTGCTTTAATTTACTAAAACATATTTCAAGCAAAGCTTATAGTAAGTAGATAGTTTTGTATACTCGTTCGAATATTTATACTTAAACTCAACTCCTGTAGTTCCTGGTATTTCAATGATGCGGATGTTACCTATTTTCATGAATGGTGGCGTTTGACCACAGCATTCGATTTCAGGGTCGAGATAGTCAATGACACATTGTTTCCCTGTTATTCGTGAGATAACATTTTCAAGGTCCTCCTTTGTTAGAATTATTTGGTTCTTGCTTATAAGATTTGTCAAAAGCTTCTTATCGTCTTTGAGTAAAATTGTTTGATATAACTGAAGAAGGTAATGGTCTACGTTATCTGAAGGATTTGTTTGAACATTTGTGTAAGGGTTGTCGTTGGCTTCTCTTGAAAGAATTTGGTCCAGTGGTGGATACTCTAACTTAAACATCTGATGTAGCGTTAGCGTTTGAAGCTGTGTTTAAATTCACGGATTTCAGCTCTGGTTCTGGCTCTTTCAAACACTCTGAACTATAGTTCTTTATGACAATATTGTTTGTCGTTCGTGAGTCAACATTTGATGTTGGTTCAATTGGAACATTAACGGCACCAGCTAAGATGGATTTGCTTCTCATTTCATATAGAATAAAAACCTTTTATATGTATGAAATGAACAATATACTCGACAAGGGTTTGAATGTAAAGCTAACGAATGAAAATATTGTTGAATTCACTGAGACAGGAGCTGTGTATAAAGATGTAGAACTACTGAACAAAAGAGCTAAGGGAAGAAGCAGGAATATGAACAAAGGGTGGAAGCCTATAAAAATTTATGTCAATGATGGCTCAGGAGGTTCAAACATAAAGTATGCAGAAAGTTATAGAGTTTATGCTCTCAAAGGTGAAAAGCCTTCATTTAAGAACAGCTATTCTAACACATATCCTCAAAAGCTAACGGATGGGGAAGTGGATGATATGAATGACAGCAAAAATATTAACAGAAATGGCGACAGAGATGCATGGAATTTGTTTACCATCAGTCAATTGAAGGTTAAACTTTAAAACAATGTTGGTCGTTCCCATGGAATATTTTTGACTTTAATGGTATTAGTCATGATATGAATCTCAAGGTATGAACGAGGAGAGATGAGAGACTTATATGCTTCCCAAATTTCTTCAAAAGGTAATGTTATACCTGACTGTTTCCAAATGAGTTCAATGTCATAGCGTGAGAAACCTTGAAAGATAACGAAGTCAGTTATGAGACGTTTTATGTTTAAAGCAAGGAAACGCCATGTTTGCATAAGTATTGCTACAGTTAAGTGGTAATGTCTGACTTTAGTAATGATGTTAGCTAATGGTGAGTCTGCTTTTGACACTAAACCTTTTCCGGCGAAGTCGTCACAAACTAATAAAGTGTTTGAAGGATACTTTTTGAAGGGGTATTTTGAAAGTTTTGACAGAATGTAGTTTGTAAGTCGTTTCATATCGTAAACTCCTGAGTATTGACGTAAGTGGTGTTTGTCAATAATTCTTTCCATCTCCTCAGAAGTCTTTTGCATTCCTGACTGTATAAATTCAACGATGGCATAATATTTCCTCTTACGTC